CGGGGCGGTCAGCAGAGGCAGAAGTGAGCGACCAAAGCCGCCCCTGCAGCCGCTTGTGCGGGATGCGGCCGCCAGCCCATCCCGGCCCCGATGGAGCCTTGGCGGGCCCAAGGCAGGGGGGCAAGGATTTATTTTTTTTTTTTTTTGTTTTTTTTTTATTTTTCAAGTACCAGGTTGTTGCACACACAGAGACAAGCAGAAAGCTGAGCCACAGAGAGGATTATCTTCGAAAGCGATATGTAAGCTCAAACCCCAAAGTTCAGTCCAGATCACCAGTAAGCGCTGGGCATTTTCCCAGACCCGGAGGCTGGAAGCATCCTGGAGGGAACGACGTTCACCCACGAGAGAGCATCGCTGCCTTCCGAAGGCCTCCAGTGCTACCGGCTCGCTACAGAAACAGCCCGATGCCTATCACCGCATTTGTGGGATGTCAGCCAAGGCCAGATAAAGCCCACAAAAAGGCTCATTATTTTTGTGAAAACTAGAAATCTCCATGTAAATAAATCCCCAGCTTGTTAAACTCATTTTCTGTTCTGGATAGACTCATTAGTGATGGGGGGGGGGGGACACAGATGCTTCTGTTTGCCTTTTCATTTTTTTTTAAAGCAGTTTTCCTGGGGTTGGACTAGATGACCTCTAGGGGTCCCTTCCAACCCAAAACATTCTACGATTCTGATTCCTAGCTCGTGTCTCACAGGCCAGGGGGCAAATGTACGCATACCGTGCAGCACACCCCCGTGCAGTCGGGGCTCGACCCTGCCAAGCGCAGGCGCCCCCGACCTGGCCCACAAAACCAGCACCAGCGCTTGAACTCGGAGGGCAAAGGGGCAGAGGCTGCTCCTGGGCTCAACCTCACTCCCGTGCCCACCGCTGTGCCAGGCGGGGGCCAGGCAGCTCACCGTCTCACCGAGTCCATCCCCACCAGTTGCCTCGGTGGGTGGTTTTTCCATCACTACTGTTGCCTTGCAACCTGTGCCCCGCGGGGGGCACGATGGCCTTTAAGCGTCCCCGCAGCGCGCATTGCGCCAGCGTTCCGGGCCGCCGGGCACACGCGCGCGAGGGCTCTGACGTGCTGACCGGAGACCTTTATTTCTGTTGAAGAACATCTCTCGAATGCTTAACAAATCCCCAAACCTATACGCAACGTTCAACTGAATTTGAGGTTTTGACACACAGAAGAAGAGAAATAAGGCAGCAAACTCCATCTGCAACGGCCTCTGTTCTCTTCATATTGCCAGAGCTCTTCCAAGCGCGCAGGCCAGCGGCCGCTCACCCCGGACCAAGTGCAAGGTGGGGAACTAGAACAGATGGAATTTCTTGCCAAACTCCGAAGTGTTTTGATTCAGTAAATAAATTTATGAGAACTTGGTTATCTTAACCTACTTTTGTGCAAGAACAATCTTGCCTTTAAAAAAAAAAAAAGAATTAAAAAAAAAAAAAATAATCAACAAAAGCTCCCCAAACCCAACATATGAGGTATTCATCACAGGAAACCCAAAGACTCTTTTTGAACAGGTATCAAAATACATACATATACAACAATATTTTTTTTTTTCTGCTGTCACAGTGCACTCTAATTATTTAATCACCTCCATCGCAACAAAATATCCAGTACAGATAAAGTGAGAGGGTTTGATCACGCCCCACTGCTCTGACACGAAGAACAGATTTACAAGTTAGAAACTGCGAGCCTTTGGATTACCTTCGAGAGGCAGAAATTTAGCAATCGTTAAAGTACACTGCTCAATTCCCAACTAGGGAAATAAAAGATAAAAGGTTAGAGCTTCGGAAACTGTTAAGATTGATCACCTAAAATCGTATTTTATTTTAAAAGTTTTGCTTTGGATTATTTCAATCCAACATCTGATGAACAAGAACCCTTTGTTCATACAAAGCACTATCAAACAGACATACGTTATTCCAGTTATCAAACACTTCTTGTCTTTATATTTGACACAAACATTACATAAAAGTCATGAAAGAGAATTTCCATGGAAGAGCTAATATTTCTTCTGAATATGAAGATATGAGGGAACATCGATACCTCCCCAAGCAAACCACTGTGTCGTACTTGTCCACCCTGCGTTGGTCTCTTCTGCAAGATGCCCACCGGCTTTGCAGGGAGCGGCGCCGACATTTCCAGTTCCTCCTTCCCACCTCTCCTGCAACGACTGGTCATAAAACACTTGTGGCAAACGTCCTCTCAGCCTTGTATGTTCACGGAGTGAAGCAGACAAGCAAAAAGTTTCCTTTTTTTTTTTATTTTTTTATTTGTTTTTTTTTTTTGTGTGTGTTCATTCTCCCGTGGGTGTGTGCGTGTGTGAATTTTCTGCTGGCTGGCCAGACCCGGAGCACATGGAAGAGGAAGGGCGATCTTCAGCCTGCCATATTGCTTGCTGTAAGTGTAAATGTCAATCACAGTGCACACCAAAATTCCAGTTGAGTTGCTCGGTAACAGGTTATCCTGCTAAGCACATTCCCCTTGACAGTAGGATTGTCCCAGAGCTGTGGATGCTAGAGAGGAGCACAGTAATTCACATACAGACAGTTGCTGTTACAGTAACCTGAAGTCTTTTTTTATCTCAATTTCCAGAAAAGAGCATCTCCTCCAAATGTGCTGTGCGTGGCTGGACACTTAATTCTTAGAAACATGAATGCTAGGCATAAAAATATAAAGAAAATAAGGCATTACAAATGAGCTGAAGTAAATGTACAGAGATCCTGCTCTTGACACAGATTAACCTTGGTCATTCGTGACCAAAAAGAAAACAAAACCAAAAACTCCCTACTTAAAAGTAAATGCCAGAAACTTCTGCCTGAGCAAAAAATTACAAGTTTAATTCTATTTTTCCCCAAAAGAACAAGTGATTCCTTGGTGGTAGAAGTCCATCAGAACCTGAGAGCAAAGGTCGCTGGTCGCACTGTTGGGGATCTTCCCCTGCGAGAGGAACAGGGTCAGGTCCGGTGACAGTCACACACGTGCCGCGGCGCTTCCCAAGGGGAACTGCTGCTACAGATCAGCTAAGGAAAAACCAGTAACAGGGGCGTTCTCGCCGAAACCTTCCCGGGGTTCCCCTGTTTTCCTATGTTCTTCATTTAGGGCACAGAGAAAGTTGGTCTTTCCAAAAAAACCAGCGTTAATATGGAGATATTACATCGGTAGAGATGGGGGTGTGCGTGTGGGAACGGACAGGGACACAGCAAAACCCTGTTCGTTTCTCCGAGGAACATCCTAAATGAATCAGAGAAGTACACTGAAGAAACTGTGCTTAGAAAGGTAAGTTTTGTTTCTTCTTTTTTCCTTACTAAGTGCCAATTAACATGACGTTGCAGTCACAAGGAAGCCAAGTGTGAGAAACCCCACCGATTTAAAAGAAACTCAGCTAAAAGGGAGAGGAAAACGACTTTTCTTGTCTTGTCCTTGCCTGAATTTATTTGATGAAAACATAAGATACGCAGCTTTTTTTTAAATCCCAGAAAAGGCTGGGAACAAGGTGAACTGAGGGTCAGCCAGAGCCTCCTCTCCTGCAGGACCGTGAGATCTTCTTTACTGTTTTAAGTGGCACATGCCTTTTTTTTTTTTTCCCTTTTTTTTTTTTTTTTTTTAAATTAAATAAATGTTGGCATTGTGGAAAATTCTCAGTAGAGTACAAAAGAGTTCATGCAGCCTGCTAGTAGCTGAAGCATTTGCTGCCTACCATATAAATACAAATACTAAGAATTCATTCACATGGCTGCGGAGTCCTACGGAGGCATGCCAGTCTACCAAGGAACGCGCAGGGAAGCCACTCCAGAAGCTGCATGCTGTCACGGCACCGTCCCCAGCAGCGTCTCCGACACCGCTCTATAAGAGCAGAGACCCCTAAAGCAGTTCGCAGCGGTCACAGCCCCCGACTGAAGCATTTGCAACCAGAAAGAGGGAGAGGATACAAAGCTTGAGAACTTCTGATTGAAGTTTTTACAGTGCTTGTAACTGGGATTTTGGTAAGGATCCATCTGGATATATGATCAAAACAAGAACGTGTGCGTTAGTAAATGGACTCCCATCAGAGTACGCTTAGCTGTCAAAAGTTAACTTGTTTTTTACATTCAGTCTCCCGAGACCACACACCACATCGTAGCCTATGGGCTGAAAAGGACACTGAAAAACAATAAAGCTGTTTTTCAATATGAGGGAGGACGGGGCGGGGGGGGGGAACAGCTAGATTGTCCATAAGCAACAACTGGGCTCCTTCTTATGCTCCCAAACCTCAGGAGCATGTTTGTTTATATTTGCACAGACACATATTACGTAGAACTCCACAAAATCTAAGAGTGTTCCAGAGTAAACTATTTTTCATGACAAGTGTCGACTAAAGGATGAGGCTGGACGGCCAAGAGCTTTGGCCCCGGGGGGAGGAACGGGGGAGCAAACAAACAAAACCAGAGGATGCGATGGAAGTCGAGACAGACCCTTAACCACCGTGGCACCAGCGGGCGACGTAATAATAATAATAATGCACAAGAAACAGGCATGTCCAAGCTCCACGTAACCAGTGGCACCAAAACATGCAATAGACTAAAATCTATCCTATTGTTTCCCTGTGATAAATGAAACACAGAATATATAAGTCACTACACCAGTATTCAAAACATGACGCCACTAAATACTTCCTTCAGTGGCCAAACACTTGAACAAGGCATCAACTAGAAACCAAGATCCAACTCAGGGCTTTTTGTGTGTTTTCCTCCTCAGCTTCACAGTGACCCGAAATTGGATTTCCCAAGCGTGGCATGAACTGGTTTGCCTTACGAACATCACTGATGCGGGTACGTGGGATGAGGTTGTTACCACTTGGTTTACTCCCAGGAAGTGCTCCCAGCAGTAAGTAGCAGTTCACAACTAACCTTCAGAAGTTCAAAAAAAAAAAAAAATTAGTTAAATAGGAATTTCAATGTCTTTAGCAGAGTCTCTTCATCTGAAACAACACAGTTAAATCCACAGAGCAGCATCAAGTTTATCAGACAGTACAGGACTTGTCAGTAGGCTGCTGAGATGCAGAGGAGGCGACGCCGGGGCTCGTGGCATTTGTTTTGGGGAAAACTGTAGGCTTCGGCCGAGTGGCCGGAGGTTTCACCTGGGTGGCCATTTTGACCGATTTCACTGGCCTGAAGGTGCACGGTATGTCGCCGGCTGTGCTAGCGCTGCGCTGGAAAGCTGGTTCAGTGTCCTTGAGGATCTGAGTGTGCAGAGGGCTGGAAGGTTCCGAGGTGGGGGCCACCACTGGAGACGTTTTCAAAGGCTCCAGGGTGTCGAGGACAACATCTGGCGTGTGCTTTACGCTGCTTTGCCTTTCCAGCTCCCGCAGCTCGTTCAGAGCAGAGTTCATAGTAGCTTCAATATCCTGCAAACACAAAAGAGAAACCGAGTGAATAACAGAACCCAGGCACGTTAAGAGAGAGATAAAAGTCAGGCTTTGAGAACGGCGTATTTGTTTTCAGCCTGTAAACACCAACGCTCAAACCAACTGGCGGGTCAAGGACCTTTAGGTGTCAAAGCGAACCCCACGCCAATCTACACAGCATTACACACTGAAGCCAATACGCAGTCCTATTTTCCATCAACGGGGAGCAAAACAGTTGCTAGCCCTTTCTCGACGCTAATCTGGTCCTTTACTGGTCCTGATGCTGCTTGGATTTCAAAGATGAGTACAATCCCAAAACGCAGCAACA